GCATCCTCAGTCTCTGTCTTGGATCCTCTCCTTTCTGTCTCTAGTTACTGTGCTGCCTAGAATGCATTCAGGTATACTTTGTAACAGACAAGAAATGTCAATAAAGCCTAAGCACCTTTATTTAGATATAGCTAAAATTCTGGTTTAGTCCATCAATAATCTGACGTAAGTCTTGCACTCTGCTCTGTTTTGTCCTTGACAGCTGTCATATTGTTCCCCATTCAAAACACTTTTGCAAAGACTGCCCACTTAGCTTATTGTTCCAGCTATGTTATTTTTCTGCCCCTCCTCCAGTCGTTTCATTCCTCTGATCTTCAGTTCTCCCTTTTTAACTACCTTAATATAAACTGTCTTCCCTTGTAAAGCCCTTCAAAACTTAGCCTTAATCTTCCTCTCATCTCTTAGTTAGTGGTGAGTCCAACAAAGTCCATTTCTGCTCTGGTAATGTTCTAAATATTTAAATAGCTGGAAGACTAGATAAATTATAGCCAGAAGGGTTTTTTTTAAAGAACTATTTTGGGGGTCTTATGAACCACTGATGTTGGGTTTGTTTGTTTGTTTTTTTAAAGGTATCATAGAATTCTTAGGAAGTTTCAAAGGACCAGAGAATATCTTAATATGTCATTGTTTAACGATTGCAAATTTGGTTGATGAAGGTGACTGCTGATGTCAATATTTTTCAGAAATCTACAATAGAGAGCTATGACATTTTCATTTTAAGAAATGCCATTTTATAATTGTAGCACATTATTAAATAGATACAAACCTAGCTCACTCATAGATATCAAAATGGGTAATCAAAGAAGATGTTCCTAATGGGATCCTACTTAGGCTCTGTGTTGTTTCAAAACCTTAAATGGTTATCTGGATAAAGATATATAAAATCCCTGCTGATAAATTTTGCCAATGACTCAAACATTGTTGGACTGGCAAATGATAAGAAAATGTCAGAACGATTTGGATTCCTTCAGACAACATATGCTTTACATGGAAAAAAGAAATTTCATACATTTAGGAACAAGCCACTAGCTGTCTCTGTCCCTTCCTTCAGGGACAGTATACCTTTTTTTTTTTGTGTACAGTTCCGACTGACATTGGTGGGATTCTACTATGGATTATATAGCTCAAAAATGCAGCCCTTTCCCATAGATTCTAATTCAATGTAATTTCAGCCCTCTCCATTAAATTGTTTTGACAACTTTGCAGTAAGGTGGTTCTCTGTCTGGATTTTGTCTTTATTCCTAATTCTGTTGTTTGTAAAGATTTTTAGATTTTAAAAGCTTTTAATTTCAATCTCAGTAGAACCTAAAGATTTTGTATAAAGTATTAGGGTCTTTTCAGGGCCTTAAGGGAGAAAGTCTTGCTTCTTTCTTCTGAAAACCCCATTGGACAGACAGTGTTGCTTACCCCTCTGCTCTCACTTGGCAAGTTTCTACAAGATAGCCAAAGGCAGTCATAGAGAATATACTTGATATTTATGCTCTCTTAAGCAGCACTAACTTCCCATAGAATACTTTGCATCAGCCACAGTCATAGGAAAGAAAGCAGGTCCATTTGACACGTGTGTTGAGGATCAGGAAGAAAGTTAGTGACATGGATGGGATTTGAGTATCTTTGTGTTACCAATTTCAGAGTCTTCATAGCCCTCCGTTGTACCTTCTTTCCCTCTGAAGGTCTACTCCTGTGTACAATTTGCAGTGCAGAACACTGGGGTAGCATTTGGCCCTAGATTAGTAATAGCTGGAGGGAGATGGAATTTTCAGACAAATCAGGCATGCCAAAAGTCTGTCTTCATTGCTTGTCTGTCTTCCAGCCATTTGTGTGCTAAGTGAGAGGTCTGCAGTGGATGGATATATGGAGGGGGTAGCTAATCAGTAGAAACAAAATATACAGGCAAGGCTAAAACAGACTAATTTCCTGTCCATGTCATATGTCATTTTATGTATGTATGTATGTATGTATTTATTTATTTATGTTGTTATTTTCTTCTGTTTATCTTTTCTCATCTTTTTTGTAGGGTTTTCTGGGAATTGTATAGGCTGTGGAGAAAGAGGATTCCGGTACTTCACAGAGTTTTCCAACCACATAAATCTGAAACTAACCACTCAGCCAAAGAAGCAGAAGCACTTAAAGTACTATCTAGTAAGAAGCTCCCAAGGTGTACTATCAAAGGGACCCCTTATTTGTTGGAAAGGTAAAGAGTCCCCCCTTTTTGTCTCAAGATGCTTAGGATTTTAGATGATATTGAGCATTGGGTTTTTAAGGCATTAAAAATTTAGTAGGTGAAATTTTGGCATGATTGAAAACAGTGGGAAGATTCCCATTGACTGCAGTGGAGTCAGTATGTCACCCAGGGATTTATCAGCCCTTAAATCTTTTGAGACTTCCCAGATAGATTGCAGTTCTATAACATTATGCTGTCATACATAGAAAGAGAGCCCTACTGCACTGCTGACCCATATTTAAGATTATAGTGCCATTGTATCAGTTACAGCTATGACTATTCTCAGTCAAAAGTATACATTAATTAATTATGAGCTGAAATTTTTGTTTAGCAGAGACCAACCATGAATGATATTTTATGAAACTCTGAAGGAAAAAAATCTGTTCATTTGTTTTTAATTTTCAGAATGAGGAAAAAACTGTGCAGCCTCCTCCTTCCCCAAGGCCTCCTCCTCTTTGCCAGTTGTTCTTGGGGCCCCCTTCCCAGCCCTGACAAGTGCCACCACAATGACCCCGTTTTGCCTCCCCCCACCTGGATCCAGCCTGGACACCCAACAGGGCCCTGCCCCACAAAAGGCCAGGTCCCGTTCCTCCACAGGATCGTGCAACCCCTATTCACTCCATCCCC